TACTGAACGACCCAGCCTCGACAGCACTGTGCGTTCAAGAATTCTTCAGCTCAACCATGCAACATCCCTCTCAGCCATGTCAAATCTCCTAAATGTTTCATACACTCCTAAGTCCCAGAGAATTTTTCTCATTCCAGTTACTCTCCCCTTTATAGGGCAGCCCCCTCCTCCACAGGATTAATGTGATCATGACAGCGCTTCCCTTTTAAGTTGGCCTGAGCTTCCTGGAGCCTCAGAGCTCATGACCCCAAACTTTCAGTTCAAGACCCACATGGGATCCTGACGTTCTGTTTGGGAAGACCTGACCTGGGGGAGTTTTTTCACACCTGCATAGTTATGGTGTGAAACGTAAATTTTTTATTTTATAAAGTGATTATAAGATTGTAAACATTACCAGCATGTTCTCACCAGAGGTATGTTTTAAACCACTTCCAACAGTGTGCTATCTGTCCCGATTTACATGTGGAAAGGCTGATCAATTTGGCTGATCTCCTGTGAAGTACACTGACTTGTTTGTTTTGTTACACCATGGGACATTTCCTTCTGTGACAAGCAACATACAATTAGTACTTGTTGGACTATTCGTACTTTCATCTACATTAGGAGATAGCAAGGACTGTAGATGCTGGAAGGCCGAATTGATAAAATGTGGAGATGGAGGAGCACAGCAGGTCAGACAGCATCTGAGGAGAAGACCCGAAACGTTGACTTTCCTGCTTCTCAAATGCTGTTTGACCTGCTGTGCTCCTCCAGCTCCACATTTTATCGAATCTTTTATTTACATTAAATGGACTCAAATTGAGTTAAGCTCTGTACTCAAATCGTTTAAGCAAATGCACACACTCTCGCTACAAGGTACCCTGGTTTGTAACTCGATAATGCCTGGTTTTCTTGGTACACAGTACGTTAAACATCACAACATTTTTCCAGTCGAGAAGGTTCATTGTCCATGCACTGGGCCCATTGGCAAGTCTGTTGGCTCCTGGAAGCACCCCTGTCAGCAGTACAGAGTGATATTCCTCATTGATAATGGTGTTTATGTGTGCTGACAAAGTTTGACACTGCTTTGTGAAACTCATGAGCTGGAAAAGCCCAAATCTTTGCACGTGGGCGCCACCACATTTCACTGACGCCAACGTAGCAGCGTTTTAATTTCCACTGAGATCACACTGTTTATGCTTGGAAGATCCCCCACCTGAAACTCTGAAGGTGGTAGGGGAGTTTCCATCCTAGTTTTGTGTTTGTCTCTTTACAGTAGGAGGGCTCACGCTGACATTTTGAACTGGAGAGAACCCCATAATCCCTTTGTTACTTTCATAGTTAGCTGTGCCTTGAAGTAAATGAAAAACACCCCTTTACAAAATAAGGATGCAGGGGTTTGATAGAAGCACAATAAACTTAAGTGCTAATGTCCTTAGGCCTGTTGAATTTGGGCCTGGAACATGGCTTGAAGCTTTCTTCAGTGCTGTTAACAATATAGATGACCCTTTAACTTTCTGACATTTTACTCTGCTATTTACTTGCCGCATCTCTGCAAAAAATGATATGTGAGAGTGAGTGGCCGTTTATGGATGGCTGAGAGAGAGAGAGAGAGAGAGAGAGAATGTAATTGTGTTTATGTGACTGAGTGTGGGTGTATGAGAGCTTGTGTTGAGGGGTTGATTTTTCCATTCTGAAAGCTTTTAGCAGACCTGAGCACACTTTTGAGCACTGATTACAAACATCGATTAAGTGAAACCATTCATAACTGAAAGCTTTAAGTGAAAAATAGCTTTGTTTTGCAGACATGCAAAAGGGAGGACAATTACACTTTTTTTTGCGACATATTTAAGAACAGATCCACAGTTGGATTATATGATAATTTTTGGGAAGTTACTTAAGCACTAGCACACCCACCCCCCTTCAACGTAAATTTTAGAAAAAGTTTTCAATTGCTCGTAATTTCTTAACTTTTGATGTCATTTGTTTTTCTTTCTGTGACTTCAGAAAGTAAAGCATACTTAGTATCCATTAGCTACAAAATATTGTTGATTAATCTCTGAGCACTACATTGTTTTGACTTGTTTCAAAAAGCCATCATTGATGGTGAGGGAGGGGGAGAGTCAATGCAGGGGGATGTGCTACCATAGTTCCTCAATGCTCTGCATGTCATGAGGAGGATGCAGAGATGCTTCAGTGCAATTTGGACAGGCTGAAAGTGTGGGCAAATTCATGGATTATAATGTGGATAGATCTGATGTTATTCACTATGGTAGAAAAACCATGAAGGCAAATTATTATCTGAATGGCTTTAAATTGAGAGAAGGGAATGTGCAACGAGACCTGGCTGTACTTGTACATCAGTCTCTGAAGGTAAGCATGCAGGTGCAGCAGGCAGAAAAGAAGGCAAAAGGTACATTGGCCTTCACAGTGAGAGGATTCAGGAACCTGCTGCAATACCACAACTACAATACTGTGCACTCCTAATCTGAGGAAGGACGTTCTTGCCGTAGAAAGAGGGCAACAAAGGTTTACCACACTGATTCTTGGGATGGCGGGGCCGATGTATGCAGACAGGTTGAATCGATTAGGATCATATTCGCTGGAGTTCAGAAGAATAAGGGGGATTTCATATAAATCTATAATAATCGAATAGCATGAGACAGGGTAGATGCAGAAGCATGTTCCTGAAGGAGTTCAGTCCAAGGAGTCACAGTCAAAGGAAGGTTATTTATGACTGAGATGAGGAGAAATTTCTTCACCCAGGGAGAGGTGAAACTGGAATTTGTTAGAGCAGAAAGCAGTTGAGGCCAAAATGTTGTATGATTTCAAAAGGGAGTTGAGTGTAATACTTGGGGCTAAAGGGATCAAAGGACAGGGGATAAAGGCTACTGAGTTAGATAATCAGCCTTGATCATATTGAATAGTGGAGCAGGCTCGAAGGGCTGAATGGCTCCTGCTCCTAGTTTCATGGTTTCTATAAGTTTTTAACCAAGCTTTTGTTAAATGGTTCAAAAACTTTATTAACAAGTAAGAGTAGGCCATTTGGCTGTTGGAGTCTGCTGCACCAATTCAACAAGATTATGGTTTATTTGCATGTGGCCTTAATGTCACTATCCTGCCTGAACCCCCGCCACCCCACGTCCCCCCAAAAAAATCCTTTGATTCCCTTTTCTATCAAAATTTGGAAGAGTAAATTGCATCATGGTCTGTGGTGCTTAACACTCAGCACAGAGGAAATGGAGATCATTCTTAAGCCCGTACCTTTATTGTGAGGGAGGGAGGGAACAGGAGGTGGGCTAACCACCAAATATATTGAAACAAAAAGAGAAAATGCTGGAGAAACTCAGGAGGTCTGACAGCGTTGGTGGAGAGAGAATCGGAGTTAAGGTTTCAACTGTGTACAATTCTTCCTCAGAGTGTGTCATCGAAATGTTAACTTGAAATGCTAGACCTGCTGAGTTTCTCCGGAATTGCCCGTTTGTTTCAGATTTTCACCATCTGTGCTATTTTGCTCTTACACAGAATTTAGTACTAACCTCACTTGCTGAGATAGGCTCTGTCTGCAACACAGATACTCAAGAGAGGAGGTGGAAGAGCTGTCTCTCCTGAGGAGGAATTTTTGTCCCTTCTCATTAAAGTGGGATGCTGTCTTATACCCTGTTGTAAAGCTGTGACTTGAGAAATAAGGGAAATGGGATCATGTACTCTGTGGAAGAGTTTATAAAATCAAATCCTTCTCGCAAATGCATGTTAGTTACTGATGTTCTGAGGGTGTAAAGTGGCTGGCTTTTCCAGTGAAGATATTTTCATTTAATCATTTGAAAACCTTCAAAAGCTTGTGAAATGCAGAGTAAAGACAAATAAAAGCAGAAAATTTCATCAACTCAAATGGCATCTGAAGAGAGTATAGTAAAGAAACAAATGGCCAATCTCGATCAGCTATGAATGGATATCTGGATAGCAGCTATCTGAATGAAATGTGAAGTCATTAAAAATAGATGAGAAAACTGAACCAGCAGGGAAAATCTTGGAATAAAATAGAGGCAAAATGTTGAGTTTAACAACTTTAGGTCTTAACCTCTGCCTTCAATTTGTGTTTTATTTACTTTGGTTTTGCTAGTTCTCTGTTTTTTTCTTGATTCCTTTACTTTGTATTTGGATGGCTGTTATTCAGCCATGCACATCTCATCTGGAGGCACCTTTTTTATTTTTGCTTTTGGGCTTATGTACCATGAAACGTTTTGTCATTCAACCTCTTTTACCCTGCTCACTATCACATACCATTTTGTTCTTTCCTTCCCCTCTCCTGTTTCACTCGCTGAAAGTCTCTCCTTAGCCCTGATGCGGGGTCAGTAACTTGGAAGGGTAACATTTGGTTCTCTCTCCAGAGACACACTTCCTGACTTGCTCAGTATTTCCAGCATTTCTGCTCTTATTTTGGATTGCCAGCTTCTGCAGTATTTTGCTGTTGAAAAGGCACTAAGGTAATAGTATTGCCATTGTGATAATCAGAATTACTTTGCTTCATTATGTAGCGTGATAAACCTGGTGACTGTCTTTAGGTGGACTTGTAACAGAGGCTAATTTTATCTGTTTTCTAGTTTATTGAGAATAAACTTGCTCAGGATGTGCTGTAAGGGTCCAATGTGTTACAATCCATGTGGGACCATTTTACCTGAAATTTGGCTAAATTCATGAGACACTAGTAGGCTCTTATTTCACTTCTGTGCTTTTCAAATAATGGTTTGTTGGTTCCGGGGGATGGAATTTTTTTCCCCCAGTTTTGATGTGGTGAGTGTTGAACACTGTTGGATGTGGAGTAAAGCTCCCTCTACTCTGTGCCCGACAGTGACCCTCCACTCGACCACCTGTGCCAATTTGGCATTTTCCACTTGCGCCAGAAGTCATCTTGAGTGTTATTGCCAGCCTAATGTACCTCAGTGTTGAATTTGGGGTAATTGTATTGTGTAGCACATGTACACTAGGAACTGCATTGAGAATGATCAAACTCGTTTCAGATTGGACGCTTTTGGCCAGCACACAGAGCAGATTTTCAACCCATCCGCCTGTACTGCATTTGAATTGCACCCAGATCCCAGAGGTGAAAGGTCAGTGACTTAAACCCCCTTAAATCATCCAATTTTTTTTTCAAATGTATCATTTGCCTTTTCTACCACTAACGCCACCACCAACTTTAGTGCTGTCTTTGTGGGAGGGAGGGACAGAGTTTATTGTAGCATGGTTTCTGAAATTCACTGTCTATAAATAATCGCAAGAATTGCTTAATATTCTGAATGACATCTAGAATATTGTGAAGGCACCAAGGTATGGCACTGGTAGAAGCAGATGTGAGCCTAATGTTTCATGATACAATGTTATATGACAGAGACACTCATAACAAAATACATATTTTTTGCAGAAGAGCTTTAAGACGGGAAAGTTTTTTTTTTTGAAACAAGGTTCTCTATCAGATTATTTTATAATAAACCAGAAGGTCAGATAAATAACCTCAAGCATAGCCTTCACTGCAGAATGAAGCAGCATAAAGGATACAGAGAAAAGTAAGTGTCATTGAGTTCTAAACTCATCTGCACCAACCAAATACCCTAAACGGATCTAGTTCCATTTGTCAGTTTTTAGCCCATATTCCTCTGAACCCTTTCTATGGATGTACCCATCCAGATGCCTTTTAAATGCTGTAATTGTACCAGCCTCCACCACTTACTCTGGCAGTTCATTCCATACATACACCACCCTCGGTGTGAAAAAGTTGCCCCCTCAGGTCCCTTTTAAATCTTTCCCCTCTTGCCTTAAACCTATGACCTCTCGTTTTGGACTCCTTTATCCTGGGGAAAAAGACCTTGGCTATACACCCTGTCCATGCTCCTCATGATTTTATAAACCTCTATAAGGTCACCCCTCAGTCTCTGATGCTTCAGGTTTGCTTGGGTTAATTAGGGTTCCAACTACTTGCAAACAAAAAGCATAATCTTCAACTTCCCCACCCCATTTGGCAGATAAAGACCTTCACTTGCAAACAACTGACCCAGAGACTGAGATAAAAACCAGAAAATGAATCTGGAGAGATCTCTAGAGCAATGTCACAGGATGTCCACTAGAAGGAAATTGAATATTAGTGATTGATATGAGTTGAAAGCCTCATTCCTTCAGTTAAAAATGGTAACAGAATACAGATGGTTTCTTACGTATGAAATAATTATTCATTAAAACAATTTTAGTATAGGAAGAGGTGGATGTTTTATATGTGACACAGCTGTCTATTAGCAGAGAGCTAGAAGGAAGAAGAACCTGGGTGTGATTATTGATCCTTCACTAAAGCTGTTGTCAACAAAGCTGAGATCAAACAAAAGATAAATGCATGTATGCTGACAGCGCCCAGTTTTACTTCTTCACTGCTGCTCTAAACCCTTCCCCTGACTTTGCACACTGCTCTTCCAACCTCCTGACGGGAGAATTCCTCCACCTAAATATGGGGAGGGCTGCAGCCGCTCTGTCTCTGACCCACTACTATTTTCATCCCTGGGGCACTGACTCCATGCCGTTCCCTGGCAAGTGTTTGAGGCTGAAACAAGCCACCCTCTATCTTCCTGTCATGTTTGACCGGAAATGAGCTTCTGAACACATAGCTGCTTTATCCGTAACACCACGTCATCACCCTGCTTCGACTCATCTGTTGAAAGCCTTTGAAATATTGGAGCAGGAGTCAGCCCCTCCAATCTGCTCCACCACTTAAGGTAAAGGCCCCTCATTAACCTCAATCCTGTATTTCCACTCTATCCCCACACCTCTCGAAGTCATGAGTAATCTCCAGATTTGGCAATTCCAACACACTCCTATCTGGCTACCTATCTATCTATCTACCTCCTATTTTCCACCTACCACAGAGTCATACTGTGCGGAAACAAAGCCTTCGGTTCAACTGTACCATCCTAAGTAAAGGACAGTTTCAAATTTATACCAAGTCTCCCTTATCCATCACCGTGGTGCTTAATGAGAAACCTTGGCTCTGATCCATCAATTTAATGAATTTTAAATCGCCACTTTTGTTTTCAAACCCCTCCATGGCCTTGCTATCCCCTTTACCTTTATAATCTCTCCCAGCCTTACAACCCTCTGAGGTATCCACACTGACAAAGTTCTCAAATCTTCAGCACCCCATTTTTAATCTCTCCAGCATTGGTGAGTGTGCATTCAGTTACCCGGGCTCAAAGCTCTAGAATTCCCTTCCTAGATTGTTCTGCCTCTTTCAGGACCCTGCTTAAAATCTATTTTGTTGACTAAGCTTGTGGCCATGTATCCTAACATTATCTTTTGTGGTTGAGTGTTAAACATTGATGCCTCTGTGAAGCACCTTGTGACATTTCACTGTGTTAAAGGTGCTATGTAAGTGTAAATCGATGATGTTACACCTCATTGGGGTAGCACACAGGAAATTAAGACTCAAAATTCCCAGTGTCATCATAGATATGGGAAATTTTGTAACAGTATGCAGAATTACTTCATAGACCCGTGTTTTAAACTGACAGAAAGCAGGGACTTAATGGAAATTACAAAGAAATAGATTCGAGCTACAGGTAAACAATTGTAAACCGTCAGTATAAAACCCTACTAGTAAAGACTTTAACACCACACACGCACACACACACCACACACACACTCTCAAAAATAGATGTAGGTTGGCATGATGGTTCAGCGGTTAGCACTGCTCGCTCTTAGCGCCAGGGACCCAGGTTCAATTCCAGCCTCAGGCGACTGTCTGTGCAGAGTTTACACATTTTCCCTGTGTCTGTATGGGTTTCCTCCCACAGTCCAAAGATGTGCAGGATAGGGTGGATTGGCCATGATATAGTGTCCAGGGATGTACAGGCTAGGTGGGTTAGCCATGGGGAGTGTAGGATTACAGGGATAGGCTGGGTCTAGGTGAGATGCTCTTCAGTGTGGACTGAATAGGCTGAACATCCTGTTCCCAAACTGTACGGATTTTATATTTTAAAAAATGTAGATGTTCTAGGTGGAGGGAAAGACTGGGCATGCAGGTCAAAGGTCCCTGTCTGGTGTTCACTGAGATTATCCTCTCATTTATCAAGACTTGCTGCTCCCTGATCTTCCTTCTCCGGGTATGTTCAGTTGCTCGGAGGAGGCACAGAGCAACTGGTTCACGCTGTGTAAAGTCTCTGACTTCTTGGTTAAAAGCTACATCTTACAAAAACTGATGAGGGAAACAAAACTGTCTTTCTTCAGGCTTGAATAATATTTTTTTTACTGCACAGAAAGGACGGCTCCTTCCTTCTTGGAGGTTCGAAGGCTTGTGACCAAACATGCACACCCACAAGCTGTTCAGCTACCTGCAAGCCAATCGCATAGTTGTTGGCAGGCAGAAGTCCTTTGTCATCAGCACTGATCACCACTTCACAGACCAATTGGCTACTTGTTGCCAGATGAATCACCGTTCCTACACACCCCTGGCTTGCAACTCGTCTTCAGGAATCTATTATCCCCCACTCCGCCAAGTTTGAATAAGCAGCAGTGTAAACAATACTGACAATGAGAGTTGGCAACCTGCTTTTAAACAGTGCAGTAATCCTTTTGGCAAGTTTCTGGCCATCGGTTGACCTTAAACCCTCAGTCTCTCCCCTCTCCTCCACTACGGTGACCCCATGAAGTCACAAGGACATCAATAAAAATATGGAAAATCTGCAGAGTCCTAACTTGACATTCTACCACCTGACAGGTGGGGGAAGGAGCAGACAGGACAGGTGAGAGTGGGCAGGGAGATGGAGAGGGAAATTCCAGTCAGGGTAGGCAGTCAATTGCAGTCTGGATCATCATTTTCCAGCTGTTTCCACTGCCAGTTTGTGTAGGGATTACAGGGAAAAAACTGCTGTCTTTAAATATCTCATTACATTGGTAGGCACAAAAATCTTACCATGGCTAGATCCTATTTAATCATCTGGTGTCTGGTGGACAGAACTGGCCAGTTATTATTGACGTCATGACATTTTGTGTTGATGGGGATGAAAGTATTGACGGTTAAGAATGTGATTAATGAAGATTTTCTGTGCTTCCACCCTGTGCACAGTGATAAGCAAGTCTTATCAGCCTAAGCTTGTCAGCTCCTTGATCCAGACCTCTACTGAGCTTCAGCTGACTCAGGTTCTGGGGTTTTACTGACGATGACGCATGTTTTGACCTTGCTTTATCTTTGGGAAGCCCTGGTTTGCAGGTCATTCATGGCCATGTAGAATTCCCAGTGAAACTCTCTTACCTGACAACTCGAGTGAAAGTTGGTAAGAGGTTTGCCTATCGTAACTTACCCTGAAATGACCCTGCCAGATTTTTCTTAAGAGGCATTAGCAAACAGCGGAGTGAAAACAGAGATTGATTTGGCCGGCCAGCAAAATTCCTGATAAAGGCAGTTGGAATCGACACGTTCCAGGTTTTTTTTTGACACAGTAGGTCAATGAGAAATCTGAACAATTACGTATCATTTTGCTTGCAATGGTGGGACATTGCTGGGTTTATGGAACATTGCATATTTTCCAACAAACTTGGTGGTGGGGTTGGAGGTTTGTCAGTCTTTTTCAACGAAGAGCATCCATTAACAATGCAAGTAGAGAGCAATGGAAACAAAACATTATAGTGAAGTCTTTACAATTGCACAGTATAGTATGTGGAGATACGCAGAGTTCGGTCACAGATCAGCCATGATCTCATTGAGGGGCGAGATGGCCTTCTCCTTAACTTCCAATCTAATAACTGATCGACTCATTCAGGACTCTTTAACTGCTTTGCACAGTGACTTTTGCAGTACATCAATTCAATAAATGGGTTTTCTGCGTGGAGCAGTCAATGTGGGCTTGCTGCTTCCACTTCATTTGAAGGTGTGAAGCGTTCTGTCTGTCAGCCAGTGGCAGATTGCAGGATGACACAGGTTCTCATACACAGAACTGGAGGTTCTGGTGGCCTGAAAGGTAAAAGATCCCTGCATCTGCAAGGGAAGATCACCACATTTCTGTCCTTGACCTCCCGACTCTTATGTGTGGCAGCACGTGTTAGTTGACTTGGCTTCGTGTCCTCCTCCCATTCC